GTGCATCCAAGGCTCTCTTAACTTAGAGCGTACATATTAGCTGAGGATCATCGACTTCGCCGGGGCCCGAAACTTGGCAGTGTGTATTACTGGGTTCTAGCATAAAAAGATCCTTCAAGCTACATGGGTGTCTTCAGATCGAAAAACGGGAAACCAAATCGAGCATGTTGCGATAGACGGAAGGCATGCTTCCAGTATTTTAGGTGTACATACGTACACTCCGAGGGCCAAACATCGACTGGCACTACTATATTGATGCATCCAATATGCGACCTAACCTCGGAGCAGCAAAAAAGGGCCCCAACAATGCAAGGAAAGTTCAACGTCGAAAAGCTGCAATCAAAACAGACGGCCAATGGATTCGGCGCTCGACCCTCACACCTGCTGTGAGAGAGCACTCTTCAACAAACCGACTTGCACGATCAGTGAAACCACATTTCCCGCTCATTACTGGTATGATGAGGAGTGTGAGAAAATAATTGAAATGCTGGCCGACAGAAAAAACACCCGAAATTTTTAGTAGAGGGTTGAGCGACTTACGGAAGGTGTCAAGACTCTTGTAGGAACAACCATGGCGACCTAGTGACCGATGTCCAGAACATACTCAGAATATGGAGGGAACACTTTTCGACCCTTTTTAATGGCAGAAGCACTGAAAGAAGTGGAGAAGACGAACCCGAGGTCCCAGTCGATGACGATGGAGTCGATATCCCAGCGCCTGACTATGATGAAAAGTGCCAAAGCTGCTTGAGCTGACGCCCTGTCAGCTAAGCTATGTAATTACGATGGCAAGGAGGTAATAAGGTGCATGCCCGACGACTGGAATTCAAGTGCGCTCTGCCCAATCCACAAGAAAGGCGACCCCGCCATGCGTGCCAACTACCGCGGGATCAGCCTTCTAAGTATAGGTGGCAAGGTCTTATCAAATGTATTGGCTATCATAGACCAGGTATTCACAATACGCCAAATCTTGGAAAAGACCCGCAAGAAAAGGATCGGCACTCACCACCTATATGTCGAATTTAAAGCCGCTTTCGACAGCACTAAAAGAAGTTTCCTATATCCCCTCAAAACTCATACG